ATAGATAAATTCATAAATAAAATATAACACATCTTTTGGTTAAACCTCAATTAATTAATTGTTTAGTTACATTTACGAAAAAAAAATTAATTCTTTAGTTACAGAAAATCATGTCCAAAAAGAATCGTGTGCCTCTTAAACATGATATGACACAAATTATTACGTAAAAACAAAAAGAAATCACTTTTTCATAAATTAAACTGTATAATTATATAAAGTTAAAAAAAAAATCAAAAAAGGGTAATGTTCAAAAAAAAAAAATCAAAAAAGGGTATATATATATATTTTAAATATAGAGACAAACTCAGTAGACTTAAACAGCACAATACACGTAAATTAAGAAAAAAACCAGAAGAAAGCGGGTCAGCAAGTGACACGATCACTTTCGTTTAAAAAAAGGAGGGGCGAGTTGGCAAAAGGTGCAGAGCACCCCCTCAACTCAACAACTGGTGGCAAATCACCCCCTCAACCCATTTCACGCGCAAATCACCCCCTCAACTCACCTGCAGTGGCAAATCACCCCCTCTATTAACACCGGCACTATTCTTTCGTTAGTTTTAACAGTCCATTCACCCACCCTCTGTTAAATCAGAAATTCCAGCTGCAAACAAGATCATCTCACTTGCCAAGTGTCATTGTATAAGTGGATTGTAATTTAGTATCTAATGCCATGTCAGCACCATTTCCAACTAGTTTCTTCTTCCTCGTTTCTCTGAGAGCAGATAAGCAGAGAACCATGCAATGGAAGCCCTAAATGCAACAAGCTTGACACCTCTTTCTTCAACTCGTCCTCTGCATTTGACATGGCTTGTTTATGTAATCAGAGTCACCATTTTCATTCAAACAACAAACCCAGATAAAAAAAAAGAAAAGAAAAGAAAACCACATATGAGCATCACGAATCATAAACAATTTCACATGTCAACGTCCATATCCCATGTGATCTTCTTTTTCTTCCCCAAAATTATTAAGTGAGGACTAAGGAGGGGACTGGACTTACCGAAGGTAGCAGTGGAAAAGGTAGGAGTTCCGTCAATGAAATTTAGCTTGCCGGTAATGATGGTTTTTGTTTTTCCTTCCCCGAACATCATCACATTCCACTTGCTCTTGTCTAGATTCACATTCTCCTTATACGTCCTTGCCTTCACCTTTATAATAAATCTAGTCTTGCTCTTATTCGGCACTGCCGCCACCGCCTCTCTGATTGTTTTGTACTTACCCGATCTGTCCTGTGCCATTATTAAATCTGGAGAAGGGGTCGTTTCCTGCAGCAGCCTCCTGTCGTCGGGGCTAACCCAACCCGGAAAGTCCGACTCTGTTTCTTGGACTCTGGGTAACTTCCTGTGAATTGGGATGTTGAAATCCGCCAGTAGGCTTAAGATTTTAGTGACAATTGCCAGACTATTACTTGCAAATTCGGTGGAATTCTGCATCACCGTTTTTAATTCGTCATGAATCGCCAAGTGCTCTGTCCCGTTCAATTCGTCCAAGGCATCAAAGCAGGTTTCTTGATCGGTAATGGAAGCGCTCAGCCATGTCTTCAAAGCGTCGATCTTCAACGTCGATGGCAGCTTCTCCCCCTTGCCGACTTCCATTGTGGAAACCGACTCATTGAGTCGATCCAGCGCGTCGTCAATCACGGTGGCGCAGACATCCAATGCAGCCTTGACACGGGTATCCATGATTTTCCCCTTTAGCTGGTCAGGGTAAACGGAGACCTTCATGAGCTCGTCGACGACCACGCGGAGAGCTAGCTTGAAGATGACTTTTGGGTCGGTGGTATTCGATGGGATCGACGGAGGAAGGGCTGATGAGCAAACTGTTAAAACTAACGAAAGAATAGTGCCGGTGTTAATAAAGGGGGTGATTTGCCACTGCAGGTGAGTTGAGGGGGTGATTTGCGCGTGAAATGGGTTGAGGGGGTAATTTGCCACCAGTTGTTGAGTTGAGGGGGTGATATGCACCTTTTGCCGGGCGAGTTAAGCACTTATAACAAGTTTTTTAGATGTTGACACACGAAAAGAAAAAATTATGAATCAATAAAATGTCATTTAATGTGGTGTTGACTAGTCAATAGACAAGTAATAAATCGTTAGAAATCACACTTAAGTGCAATGAAGAGTCTGTTTCAATTATAAAGGTTGCTTTTTTGAATAAATTAAGGCAACTTTTACAAATATTTTTATATATTATGAGAAATAAAAAACAAATTTTTTTTGAAAAGTCAAATATCAAATTTAAAATGATATCCTCAATAAAAAAAAGTAATTAATCACTTTACTCACGTGCGGAACATTAAAGAGAAAGTAACTAATCGTTTTACCTGCATGCGAAACATAAAGGTTGCATTTTTGGGTGGTTGCTTGGTGGAAGGAAAAAATTAAAAAATGTAGACTTGTCAGATAGCCCACTTAAAGTTCTCAACAACTTGCAGTACGTACTGAGATGGCTGTAACAGGGTCTGTATCAGTTGTATGAACTGAAGAAATTTGGAATTTGATTTCAATTCCACACCAATAGCTGCCCCATTATTTCTTTTGGGCTTTCCGCATTTCAGGTTACTATTCTATTAAAAAAAAAAAAAAACTCATCTGTAGCTGCCTTGGGTGGGACCTGGGAAAGGAGCCGATAGATTTAGACATAGATAAATTTGACTAAGTTTGCAGAGTTGTGCAATTTGCATCGCTCATTTTCATTCAATAAATTTGAAATGTGATTTGGAGTCCGATCTAAGGATAAATTAAAAGAAGCAAGGTTTTGAAAATCGGATCGGACCGGTCGGTCGAACCAGTACCAGGTAGCATAAACGGTTCGGTTCCATTCTTTAAACCGTTTAAAAACCAATAAGAACCGTTGAAACCGCTCAAATCGAAAACCGTTCGACCGGACGGTTCAATGCTTGAGAACAAAAGCTTGAGAAATTTGTCCCCCATGAAGCTTGAACTTACAACCTTGAAGTCCTTTTAGTTTATTCCAACCTTTGCCACCAGGACAATGCACTCTGTTTGTCAATGGATGCTTGAAATTTTATTTAATCTATTTTAAAAACCATAATTATTTAAAGTTTGTTCATAAGGGTACTCGAACTTGTGATCTTTGGCATGAAAAAGCATCCACCTACCATCACACTCAATGGATATCTTGTGAAATATTTTACAAAATAATATATTTATACTATATAAACGAACCGGCGGTTTTACCCGTTAAACCAGTCAAACCGTGAACCGGAGGCCAAAACGGTTTGACCTCCGGTTCGGGTTTAAAAACATTGAAAAGAAGTATACATTTTAGACACCCCATGGAGACTGGCCCAAAAGAAAAGGACACCATTTAAGTTCTCAATTATGACCTTCACAAGCTCTGTAACACACTAGCACTGGTATGAAATTAAAAAAATTTAGAATTTGATTTCAAGTCCACACCCATAGTTGTAACATTATAATTGTTTTTTATGCCAATTTTTAGAAAAATTTTTGGGCAGTGTATCTATTAGGCTTTTTATTTTGGTTAAGTAAAAACTTAATTTTGAATCTTATATTAATAAAAATGATTTAATTAAATTTTTTATATGCATATTAAAGTTTTTTTATTTAAATTAAAATAATAAAATATTAAAAATTTTATATTATAAATTAAAAAATTGACACTTTCATAGTTAATAAAGTGAT